ATTCCGTTGTTCCAGTTATTGTTGTCCGAGTTGTAGCTGGAAGGCCAAGATGACTTGGGATCAGACTGCATCTGCTGGTGCATGATCCACGCAGCCTCACCTCCGACTCTGTCGCTGCCAACTGAATCGAAAGCCATTCGTGACTAAACCACGAACTCTTTTTTGTCTTAAGTTCACTTCTGTCTATCACAGCTTGGTTGGAATAAAACAGGTCTTTTCAAAGCTGCCCTTTAATTATCTGCCACCACGGTTCACAAAATGCTGTAACTAGAGAGTGCGTCAATTGGATATATTTCCCATTTTGTTTGGTACATTCACTGCTGAGGCACGGCGCTGTCATTCAGTTTCAACTCGCTAGCAGACGCACTTTGAGTGACAACTCAACTGGCCAATAGGAGACGAGTACAATGGTGACGACGCACCCATGTGACAGAGTTAAAAGTTTCTAAGGGAAGTCGTTTCTTTAAAATGTTTAACGACCGTTTCAGTGATTCTTTTACTTCACAACGTAATAACCTCAACATGTACTTGATTCTTTCATTTTATAAAGTGTTTTTATCGTAATTTCACATGTCACGGTTCAATTGATTTAACTCGCGAAAACATCAATATTTTAGAACCTAATTTTCAGTTTAATACTTAAATCCATTTATATATCTTGACTGAAAATGTTTTAGGTTTCAGTCAAATTAATTAATTCAAGATTCGATTTGGTTGTCATTTTAGGTAAAGAAATAATTTAATTCAGCTCTTGGGATCTTTGGAACGAGCGGTAAGGATTTGGGGTTTAAAGGGTTAAATTGAACCGGAAGCACTAGTTTCTATGTTACTTCCTGTGGAATAAGGATACACTTTTGAAATGTCCATGGCTTGATACTTTACGTTTAAAAACTTCCAAATGTCAGCAAAATGAATTACATGCCAGGGACTGCGAGCCTCATCGAGGACATTGATAGTAAGTTAATTGCGAAAAGATTTAATAAAATGGTTTTACCCCGGTGAGACACACACTCACACAGTTGGCGTGTAATGATGTTCGCTTAGACGCTTTTATAAAAAGCATTTATAAAAGTCACGTTGGTATTACATGTTTTAGCTAAACAAATATAAATCTAGTGTTCTTTGCTATTGTTCCGCAAGTCTGATGAATCTATAATAATCCAGAGTGCATAATATTTGCCTCCATACAGGTGTTCGTGTGATTAACGTTAACTTGCATGAATTAATGACAGAAATCTCAAAGTTCAACAGTATACATGTGATTCACGATGCTTTATTTATTTATTTTTTTTAAAGAAAAACACCTTGTGCTCCTTCGCGATGGAAGAACATTGATTGGGATCCTTAGAAGCATAGATCAGTTTGGTATGTAAAATGGCCTGACATTATTTTGCAAGCATCTATTTTTTTTCTTTTACATTAATATATTCTGCTGTTTGGTGTTTAGGTGGAGGTCTCTATCATTAAAAATATATTTCGATTTTTCATAATTTATGCCCTCTCATGAATGTCTATACTTTGATGCAATTCAATAAAAACACACTAAAAACTTGTTTTGTCCACACCGTAAAGTCAGTGATATTTGGACCCCCACATTTAAAAAAAATAAATAAATTATGTTCCATAAAAGAAAGTCATGCAGGTTTGGACTATGAAGGTGACAACATTTTTGGTTGAATTATGTGTTTAAGACTAGTAGTAATGTGAAAAGAAAAACAGACTTTGCTCAGTATGAATTTTTATTTTTTTTTATTGTAAAATGTACTGTTATATTTCAACCTACGTAATTTCTTTTCTCTTCCACAGCCAATTTAGTTTTGCATCAAACAGTGGAACGAATCCACGTTGGTAAAAAATTTGGTGACATACCTCGTGGAATATTTGTCGTGAGAGGAGAAAATGTCGTCTTGCTTGGGGAAGTAGTAAGTACATGTGTTCATCGTCCTGCTACCCTCGGGATGATTTTATGACATTGTGTAATATTTGCAAGGATGTGGTGTATGATGAGACATTTTCGTGAGGGTAACAAATCAGAAATTTTGAACCACAACTCACTTTTATTTATTTTTTGGGTTTTATCAAAAAGTTGAATAATATGCTATTTTTCCTCTACCAGGATCTGGATAAAGAATGTGATCAAATCCTCCAGCGAGTTTCCATTGAGGAAATTCTGGAGGAACAGCGGACAGAACAGCAAGCCAAGCAGGAGTCAGAGAGGCTTAAGCTACAGGCAGTGAAAGAGCGAGGTTTATCGATTCCTAAAGCGGACACATTAGATGATTTCTGAAACTACATTTAGGTTTTTTTTTTTGATGATTTTATTTCTGTTTTATTGGATGTTTTTTTTTTTTGGTATGAGACGACAGTCTGTCTTGACTTTCAATCATTCTGTCCATTGATATAGAGTGAGTCTGACAAGATTATGACTTCAAGATTTTGTTTCACTAGTTGCTTGTGAAGGCATGTTTTGAGAATTGCCCACCATCTTTGTTTTTTAATGGCTGAAGCCATAGTGAAATGAAGGATGGACCAAACTGAAGCACTTGTTGACGTTTAGTTTAAAATTAAACAACTGTATATGTATACAAGAAAAGTTTATTTCAGTGTTCACTATGTTATGGATTTGACGCTATGGTTAAGTTGGTGTACTGTATAATGTAAAACGCAACAACACTGAAAATATTTTTGTTCTATTAAACCTGTTTTATACTGATGTCAGGCTTTTAATTAATTGTCACTCTACTTGATTCTGAGAAACCAAATATCATTTTGGTGTATTATGTTTTTTGATTACTTATCTCCAGAAATGTTCTTCGTAGCCAATCAACACAGAGGGCTTGTGTTTGAAAACATTAGGGTGTAACGATTTACAGTGGATTAGAACACATATTATTACATACAAAACAGTATTTTTATAAGTGAACGATATAATTATTTAAATAGATTTTAGAATTAATTTTAAAATTTCCACACATGCATAGGTTTATTATATGCTGCTTTTGTGCCCTTATTGCTCAATAGGGATATAAGGGGTTATTCATGTTAAACATGTCCTTGCATTAATCAGTAGCTAGGGGGTGGTTTTGCATTTGTTTGGTTTTGAGACAATAGTTCATGGAGAGAAAGAAAAAGGGTTAAAATAACTATAACAAAGCACAATAATACAGGCTACTGTATAACAGCTAATGTTCGTCGAGTTTCACTCTCAGTAAGTTTCTTTACAACAAGTGTAAATGAGAAAAAAATATACAAACTAGCTTGTCAGATTGTGTCTGAAACACTATTTATTCAGTTGGCTATTAAAGGGATAGTCCACCCAAAAATGATACTCACCCTCAAGTCATCCTATGTGTGTATAGGACGTTCTTCTTTCAAATGAGTAATCAGAGTTAAAATGTCCTGGCTCTTCCAAGCTTTATAATAGCAGTGAATGGCTGTTTCCGTTTTGAAGTCCATCAAAGCGCATCTATTCATGATTAAAGTGCTCCACACCTATCCTGGGGTTAATAAAGGCCTTTTGAAGAGAAGTGATGCTTTTGTGTAAGAAAAATATCCATATTTAAAACTTTATTAAGTAAAATAACTAGCTTCCAGCAGGATGAACATACAGATTCCACTTAACTCTAAAGCGTATGCGAGTAATGTAACATCAGTGTTGGGTTAGTTACTCTAAAAAAGTAATTAATTACTAGTTACTAATTACCTATTCAACAGTGTAATTAGATTACTGTACTAATTACTCTCTCTAAAAAGTATTTAATTACTTTTAATTACTAATCACTTTCAAAAATCCCATATCAATCTCAACCAGCTGAATAATACAAGGATAGACATGAATCTGTTTTAATTCTTTCAAATAAATACTATAAAATTGCATGAATTATCCTTAAACTTACCAAGGTGGAGAAGTTACATTATAAAAATACTTTTTAGCATCAGACAATACATTTTGATTTTAAACCCACTATTGTTTTATGTCTGATCTCATGACATTTGACACTTTTTTCATACATATTTTACAATAATTCATACGAATTTGTACGAGTCCGGTCGTAATATTTAGACACCTCAAAAATGCATCGGATTGATCTATACACAGTATTTACCTCAATTACATCAGAAGTAACTGTAATTAAATTACAGATAAATGAAGAGTAATCCCTTACTTTACATTTTCAAGGGAAAAGTAATTAAATTACAGTAACTAATTACTTAGTAATTAGTTACACCCAACACTGTGTAACATACTGATATTTACGCTACTTCCGTCACAAGTTGCACAAGTAGAATTTTACTTTGTAACTTGTGGAATATGAATATTTTTCTTACACAAACTCATCACTTGGCTTCAGAAGGCCTTTATTAACACTTTAATGATGGATAGATGCACTTTTATGGACTTCAAAACAGAAACATTCACTGCCATTATAAAGCTTGGAAAAGCCGGGACATTTTTTAATATAGGCTAACTCTGATATGTACTCGTCTGAAAAAAAGAATGTCAAGGCTACACCTAGGATAACTTGAGGGTGTGTGTGGGCTAATTTTAATTTTTGGATGAACTATCCTTTTAATATCTTGAATTGTTTTTAAAGCAATAGCACAATGAGCATTTGTGTTGGTTGGTCTAATTATCAGCATGTCTGTGATTAACTCAGCAGAATAACGTGTTCAAAATAATTATTGTTCATGTCATATTGAATCAAATTGAAATCTCTGATAGTGATAAGTCATCGTCAAATGGTCCATTAGAGTAAACAGAAAACTCGTGTTCTTAGGAAACGGACTAGAAATGGCCCCACTTAAATTAAACAAACAAAAAGTGCAATTCGTCTTTGCTATTTATTGGCCTTGACTTTCAATCCCGGGCTATCCCACTTTCTATTATTGCGCCCAGTGCCGACTGAAAGAGCGGGAGCGGCTTGAATGCCCTGCTATCAAATATCCTTTGACAGCCATGCATGCTTGTTCTTCAAGGCTCGTGCGTCACAGCTGCATTTAAACACGCCCCTTTCAAACGCTTGTTGAATAGGAATGACAAGGAAACATGACAAGCGCTAAAGATGAATCTCGTACACCGTTAACCGCGCGCGTCCTCAACCTTTCGCATCGCTACGCCATTTGAGCATAGCTCTACCGCTGTAAATCTGAACGGAGCCACGGGGAAAGCCGCTTGGGACCCAGCCAAAAATTACAACTGAAAGCAGAAACCCAACCCTGCTTCGATTACGCACCGAGAGAGGGAGCACGCTGATAGTGACAGCGGCACTTCAACAAGTCCTGTATGATCGACCGTACTCTACTTGATCCGTTTTCTGCCGTGCACCCTCAAAGGATGTAGACCTCGGCCTGCTGTCTTTGGCATGTACGTTTTAACGTGACTTATCGCCAGTGGCTCGACAACGCTGTGTTTCAACAGGCAATGCCTTCCTTACGCCGTTTGTGGCGCAAACTACAACCACGCGCGTGTGTCGGTGATTCGTTGTTTTACGTGTGTATACGTGTGTTGATAATTTAAAATGACTAGGTTTTGATTTAAATACTTTTATAAGGACGGAAAATAGCGTATTCTGCTGGGAGGAGCAATAAGGAGGTCTATCTACTCTTCGGCTTCCACGGCAATATCACGGTGTTTTTTTGATGGAGCTGGAGAATATTGTTGCAAACACGGTACTCTTAAAGGCAAGAGAAGGTGAGTAACGTTACGGAAAATGACAAATGTGATTTATTATAATTCTTTTAATCGTATGTAGTTTGCTAGTTTTTACAGCCAGGAAAAGCTCTGAAACCGCTGCTCGTGCAGCTTTTGTGATGATGTAATCTTAAACAGATGCTGTGTGAATTTATCCAGTACGACATGCAACATTGTTTCGAATACCTCCAGTGGTTCTTTCATCTGTAATCAACGTTATAACGCCAGCGTCATAATGCTATAACATTGTATATTTTTGACAGTTGGTACGTGTTACGGGTTGAACGGCGGAAAACATCAGCTTCCCACATCCGTATAATGAGCTAAAAAACGAGTCGTGATTTTTAAAAATGCAAGTTAAATGTGGATGTATTACAAACTTCTCGCGCTGAATAGCCAGTTTCGGTGGGATTTTCTATAGGCTATCATTTATTTCCAGTGAGGTTATAACGTGAGCTGTGTAAGGAAATGGTATGCTACACAGCTGCCACCTTTTTAACGTTTTTAAAACACGCACTACTTATGTTATCTCGATAGGTCCGCCAAACCAGGTCAGCAGCAGTCAATAAGGCGATGTGAAAGTAGCCTGCGCTTGTCTTCGTTACCGCGAATACCACAATAACCGCGACTTCCCTTGCTCGTGTTTTGATGTCCTCGCCAGTCAGACGACCATTATTGCACTGAAGCTTGAATGGATTTAGATTCAAAGTCAACCAAATGTAAAGCTTGTCCACAATCCTAGGGTAGAAAGAGAATTGAATTAGCCTTCCACTGGACAGATGATAAAGGCTAGCATAAAATAAAGCTACGTTTTGAATTGTACATATTCCCCATTTTGACAATCAGTGTGAGAAATCATTTAAGCTAAGCTGCTCTCTTGAACCTGTGTGCATCATGGAAAATTATAATGGAGTCCTGATGGGTCTTGAGAACAGGTTTTAGATATGGAACTGGCTGTCCATGTCAAAATGAACATTTTAAACAAGATTCTATTCCATTTACATTTCACACCTCTCTTTTTTGCTTAGAAAGTGAATCTGAAGTGAATTGCTAACTCTTGTATCCCAATATACAATTCAATCAGTCATTCAAAATGCCTTTTGCACTTTGTTGTGATCTCAGGTTGCATGCTTTCATTCATCTTGTGCTTCTTGCCATCCGTCTTGATACTTCAGAGCTTCTGACAACGTTCAGCAACAATGGCAAAATATGGAGCTGGTGAACCTTGTTAGCCATAGCGTCCTCAAATGTCTCGCACCATTGACTCCATTAATTACCCAAATTCTCTTGTTGGACTGAAGGCACAAGCCCAAACATTCAGTTCCTGTGTTCATTGTTGCTCTTAGCCCAGAGTTTACCATAAACGACCAGGTTTTGACAAGTGTAAGATTTACCATGTCCTCACTATGTTGTTGAACAGAGGGCACTAGCCTAGGCCAGTAATGTTAGTTGATCTATAGACAAATAATGTAGAGAATTTTTTTAAATGATTAAGCTTGGTTTATTTTGCTTTTCCACACTTCAGATAGTAGACAAAAGAGTTTCTCTCAGTGGACAGCAGGGTTTGCAGAGTGTTTGTGTGGACGGTAATGTGGGTGAGTGTACATACTTTAATAGTTAAAGGAAGATTTCACAACACTTTGTTCAAATATTGAAAAAAGCCTTTTTACAAACATGTCTCTTGTCATGCTGCTGCTCTTATTCAAGTTGAAACCCTTCTGAACGTACAGTGAACATCACAGGAAATCAGTCTTTTTAAAGTGGTCTTGTGTTTATTGATGTGTGCAGTTGTCTGTATGTGTGCATGTGTGTGAGAGGGCACTTGTTCAGTGAGTGTCTGCTTTGTTTGTTCTATGTCCATGTGTGTGACTCCCCCATCCCCCCCCCCCCCCAATTTGTTTATCAAGCTGTGTTTGGAGCAGAAAATGAAGCGCAAGGCACGCAGACTCTCGTCCAAATGTTCGACTAGCAGCAGATAACAGGAAAAGCAGAGTTTACAGGCCACACAGTCTGTTTACATGGCTGAAGCCACGCTTCCGAAATCATTAGAGAGTCTGGCCAGAGCCAGGCAGCCCCAAACTAAACAGAAATCCCATCTACGTCTGTTATGATATTCTGCTTGGAGATGTTCAGGAACAGACATTGAAGAAGGTAGGCCCCTTGTGTGTAGTCTTAATTTTTACTGAATTTGAATGTTTAATTTCATTGAGTATACTTAATTAATAATTATACATGTAGCCTATGACAGTTTGACTAACTTTCTCTTTAAAGTGTCAGTCACTTTGACGTAGTCAGAGCTCAGAAAACATGTTGCTCTAATGCACATTATAATATTGTGAAAGATATTGTAGATAAAGATAAGATATAATATTGTGAATAATATTGTAAGCCCAATGTGGTAATTGTGAGAGTTTACAAAAAGAGAAATGGGGTTCTATATTATAGAGACTTCTTGTGTCACATCATGAATTGCGCTGTAACATTTAGGAATGCAGGCTCATTAAATTGAGCTAGCATTGCAGTATTTGCATGCGCATTTGCGTAGAGTATTTTTTGGGCATGATCACCCTTTCCTGCCACCACCAGTGACATCATTTCCTACACTAACACTGTGTCTACACCGGACACAAGCGGCATGACTTGACAAAAAAAAGCAATCCAATGTTATAGTAAGTCCCAATGCACTTATGCCTACATTATGCGGTTCTTTAAGCCTAGTAAATTTCCAGAAACATGAGCTGAAAGAATTGATTATATTTATGAGGGAAGTTCATTCGCAAATGGAGAAGAAATATCAAGATGACATTAGGCAAACATATCAGTCAAGTTCATGACCTCAGATATCGGGTGTGATTATTATTGACAGAAAGGCAGATAGGTCATAAAAAATAGCCTCATTGTTTTCAGTCCAGGGTCAGCCCAGAGTAGGATGTAAAGTCATCATCTGATCCTGTTTAGTTTTTTTTATGCAATGTGAATGGTTCATTGGTGGATGCTATTCCTAAGAATTATGTTTTTCTTCATAATTGTTAAAGGGACACTTCAACTATTTGCATTAAGCTTTGTATCTTTAGAAACCCAGTAATATTTTTGAATGGTCATGGTTTATTCCCTTATTTTCCGCTGACATGGGAGAAATAAGGATTTAAGTGTTTTACTTCCTGCTTATTATGATGTAAAAATCGTAATTTTGCGTCAAAATAAGCAGGAAGTCACATTTCATTGAAAAGTGTAGAGACTACAAACTTAGCTCCTCATTATTCAAGGGTGTGGGACCCACAAACCCTACAGGCCTATTACAGATCAGTGGGTGGTTTCACTTGCAGAAACTGAAATCAATATCCGTCATCTTGTTTTTGGAAGCTAAGCTAACAAGCGCTGTGGAGATAGGAAGTATGATAATGACGAAAGAAAATAAACATGATATGGAAGAAGAGGATTTTGAAAGTCTGCTGCTCAAATCCGATGTTCGTGGCTGTCTTTACGAGCCGCAATTTAAGTTAGTGAAGAGCAGCTGAGGCTGCCTGTCCCGGTTGATGAGCCCGGACTGGCTTGAGATGAGGCGGACTGCTGTGCATGTGCTCTCGCTGCGTGCTACGGCCTACGGACACAGATAAGCCGCGTTTCCACCGCAGGAACTTTCCCCAGGAACTACGAATTTTGGGGTGGTTCTCGCTGTGTTTACACCACTGGGTAAACCACCGGAAAAAAAAAGTTCCTGGGACAAATAGTTCCTGGTAATTGCAGTGGAAACGCGGCTATAGAGTCCGTCTGCTGCAGAGAATTTCAACAATGCAATTTCTCCTGGACGAAATCTTTGAATCAGACGAGCACACAGACGTTTGTGTTGTGATGTGAACCACCATAGTTTCGGCTGACTGAACATCCAGGTATCATGCAGTAATACACCATATTTAGAAAGACATACAAACAAGGAGTAATTTACTAATGAGTTTGCCAATGTAACGTTAACAGGATTTATTGTTGTGGGTAGCAGGAGGCGGGAATCGGCAAACATTTTAATAGTAAAATGAACAAATACAAAACGGAAGTACAAGCCAACAGCCCCTCATTGACTGATGTCCACACACAATATAAAATCAGGCCTGTTTCTCTCTCGATCTGCCGTTTATGCTGCTGCTCCTCTGTGAGAGATACGAGACCGGTCGGCGTGTCTCTTGTCTTTCATTATCTCTCACACCACCGGCCTCGCGCCGTCCTCTTGCGCCGCTCTCACGTTCCTCGTCCCTCTCGCCACAGCCAACTAACTAGAAATTTTGTGTGAAATGAATTTCAAACTCTGGTGGCAGCTAACGTTAGCCTCGTTGACGAATTAATGATTTCTCTGATGTGCACGCAGTTCTGGATTAGTGGGTGTTGCTTGCGGAGCTGTGCAATGTGGTGCATTATAGGTGTTGTAGTCTTTCATACAAATGCACCCTTCGGTTATTTTCTGTCTTTTCTCGGTCAAGAGGGCAGTGCACCAAATTCAAAAATTCTTTTACATTTCAACTACATATATGGTCCACTTTCAATAAAGATTAATGTTGAAATGGGTGAACTTTCAGTTGATTTGGCTTTATTATATTTTGGATCGTCGTCCACTTTTTACCATCCAGCCCCTACTTTTTCCTCGTGAACAGTTTGATTAATTATGTTTTGGAGGTGGAATAAACAGTATGTCAAATAGCAGTAAAAGATCTATGAGGGAAATAATTACCATCTTTTGTAGTATCAAATCTCAGTATAGGTGTGAATTTTATCCTCATGATTCTATTTTATTATAATTCAGAGGGTAATGATTTGATTATAAAATGATGCTCAATATCACGATGGAGCTTCATTTTAATAATAATTACTACATTGATAATCAAAATATAGTTATTTTAGTGTTTTAAAAAAATTCTCCGCTATTAAAATAAGAACAAAGCTGCAAATAACGACCAGTAGAACAAATACAAGAAAGAAACGTGATTTAACGAGGGAAACGTGTGTAAGTG